TCGCCATGACCTGATCCTTAGGAAGCTGACCAATTGGTGGCATGTCATTGTGATGGCATCTTATGCTCCCCCACCCCAAGCCTATTCCCTGTGGATGGTAAAGGGTATGTCTGAGGCCTGAGTCCTGATGGAGATACTCTGACTCTCACAATTCAAGGTGGACTTCCCTCCAAATGCAGATTCCAGGCTCTTTGAAACCCTCAAATCATGGACTTTGGGTTCTATTAAACACGTGCAACAACTCTTCCGTGCCAGGGAACAAAAATAATACTGACTCTACAGAGTCACAGGGCACGTGTGAGAGAGGACGCAGGAACATGCCGCGCATCGATGTTGCTAGGAGCACACACATGCCCAAAGGGGCACACACAGTCTTTTGAGGCAAAATACAAATTATTTTAAAGGTCCTTCAATATGATGTACATGATAAACTACAGCACTGCTAAGATTGATTAGATTAATACTACTTGACCTTTAAATGCTAGATACGTCCTTACATGACACACTGTCTGGGCGAATTGTACAACGCCTGGACACCGGCATGGGTGAACTGGGGGGGTGGAATCACTAAGCAGCGCGAGGACGACTTTGGCCGACAAGGTTGCTTCTGCTGTGTGGGTTCTTTCCTTTGTCCCTGGGGGTATGTGGCAGGGCCCATGAGGACCCTGCATTGATATTAAGTGTGCAACACTCCCCTGCCAAAGACACAGACTTGTTCCCACTCGGGATGTAGTCAGAGGATGCACCCTGGCTGAGTGTGCCTGGCTTCTTAGGAATGAATTGCGTCGCCTCTTCACTCAGTGATGACGCAGCTGTCCCCACAGGAGTGCAGGTCACGGTGCCCCTCGCTTCTTCCCTCCCTCCCTTCCTTCCTTCTCTCCTTTCTTTTCTTTCTTCCTTCTCTTTTGTTGGTAGCTAAATACAATGCGTCCTCAAAAAGTTCATGGAAAGATTCATATTATCTTTTGATTCCATTTTCCACTGACTTTTTGAAGTACCCTCGTCTATGTGGAGTTTCCCCATGGCTTCTCTTTCTGACAGACATGTGATTTTGATAGTCCCAGCTTCAAGACTTCTGTCACCTCCCACCAGCCACAGATCATCAGTCTCAGCAGGCACTTGAGCTCCTTCTCAGTGCTCGCCTGACACCCTTCCTCGATCCATGCTAAGTGGTAACCCTGCTGGACCCCTTGCCAGGCAGGTTCACATCTCCTCTGTGTCTTGCCACATCTTCTTTACTACTGTAAGTTCTTGGCCCAAATGTCACCACCTCTGTGAAGTCTTCCAGAACATTCCCCACCAGCCAAGTTCTCCAGCCCTCTCTCTGCACCCCACAGTGGTGAGCACACCCCTCCGGGCAGCCCACCGTCATACTGTAGAGTAATGACCTGTGTCCCCAGAGCCTGACACAGCACAGGGTCTGGCACACAGAAGGTGCTCAGCGAATATCTGAAGAGTGCCAGGAGAGGATTTTCACAGCTCTTCATCAGGGAACCTGCAGCTGCCACGTGCCGCTGTCCTGGGCCCTGGCAGATGGCTGTTTTGGCTCAGTGATGTCTGGGCCAGGCTGGGCAGAACTACCATGAGTCCTAGCTGCCCCTTCTCCCAGTGCAGATTCTCTGGGAAGCTGGACAACTGCTTTCCTTAGAACCTGTGACTCCTCCCCCCTGGGTAGTTGGCCCCGAAAAAGTCCGGCTCCCACTCCTTCACCTCGTTGGTGTGGAGGGGGGTGTGAGGAGCCTTTGACCTCATGGCTGTGTCTGAATGGGAGAGGCAGGAGCAACCCTGAGTTTCCTGCCACCTTCCTTGGACCAGGCCAGGACTCTGGCCACCAGCAAAGCAAAGGCAGCTGGCCTGGGGTCAGACTAACTCTTTGGGGGCTAATGGGCCATGTGGTCTTGGGAGAGAGCAGGAGCCGGCTGGGAAGGTGGGGGGACGCACACAGCTCACTGCTCCAGACAACTCTGCCTGCTGTCACTCGTCTGTCCTTCTGTAGACCCTGGCCTGTTTTGCATTCTCCCTCAAATCTCTCTGCCTCCAGAACCTACAAATCTTCCCAGACCTGTAAAATGGAGATAATAATAGCACCTACATCATAATATTATGAAGACTGTGGAAACATTACCCCAAAACACTCAGCACGCTGTCTGATGTCTAGTCTCCACTCAGCAGACACCAGCTGGTAGGACCACTGCCTTTATTACTAGCTGCTCCTGGGGGACCTGGGCCACTGTCATCATTACTAGCTGCTCCTGGGGGACCTGGACCACTGTCATCATTACTAGCTGCTCCTGGGGGACCTGGACCACTGCCTTTATTACTAGCTGCTCCTGGGGGACCCAACAGGGTCAGCCACACTGGATGAAGCTGAGAACCAACAAGAGACCCACATCCAGGAACTGGCATCCAGAACTGTCTCTCCCTGGCCCTGCCTCAGCCTAGCTCAGCTCCCAGCTATGAGGCTAGGTGGGAAGAGGTGCGATGAGCTCTGGTTAGTGGCAGAGGTATCATCATGTCCCACAGCCTGGCTGCCCAGGCAGACTCAGATCCAAGACCCAAGCAAGTGTCCCAAGGGGGCCCCTCTGAATGCCATGAAGGTGTCCTGGCTCTGAGCCAGCCAGTTCTGCCACCCTCTGCCAACGCCCCCAAATGCATCTCGTGCTTACAACCTTGCACCCCACAGAAAGGAATGAGGCCACTTCATAAAAGCCTGCAGAGGTGAGGGTGTGTGGCTTCTGCTGTTCAGCCAGTCTTCTGAAAATGAGCTTTTAGAACTTCATGGAGAGATCAATTTTGTCCCTCGGAGGACAAAAATGACCCAACCCTTGAATAAAGCTGGAGATTGAACTATTTGGAGAACTAGGGAAAGATTCAAGATAATTGAAATCTATGTATTTAGAAATACCCAGTTTTCCATAGAGTTTATCCAGGTGTTTAAGATCATACATATATATATATATATATATATATATATATATA